TGGAACGGACTGCTCAGGCACGTCAGACTAGCCAGCAGCTTTCCGGCCTTCGCAGGAGCATACCTGCCTTTCCCCAGCGTTTGGGCCGCCCTGTCACTACCACCAGCCTTCAGCCCCGACCTCAGACTGGTAGCAGACCTGTTGGTTCCTATCCCCATGATGTGCGGCAGAGACCGAGAAGGGACTTTCGTGAGCCAGTCTGCCGCCCTGTTAGACAGACCCGGGCCTCAAATCCTGGACGCCCTCCCCCCAGAGCCCCCAGGGGCCGTGGGGATAGATGATGATGCCAACGGGCCAGCCGTCTGACATTTTTCCCATCAGCAGCTGAATTTCTGGGCTGCTCATGCCGTAGATCCATGGGTAGTTGCCACCTTAACCAATGGCTACAGGCTCCAGTTCTGACGGCGGCCCCCCCTCTCACACCGGGTCAAAATGACTGTCATCACAGACCCGGTGAAATCTCAGGCACTAGACCAGGAGCTTTCTGCCCTCCTGGGCAAGGGGGCAATCGAGTCTGTAGATCCTCTGTGGCAACCCAGAGGCTACTACTCAACATACTTCCTTGTGGCCAAGAAGACCGGTGGTTTTCGCCCCATTTTAGATCTAAGGGGACTGAATCGGTACCTGAAGGTCCTTCCCTTCCACATGCTCACCATAACAGAGGTCCTTCAGACCATTGTGGCGGGAGATTGGTTTACATCAATAGATCTGACAGACGCCTACTTTCACGTGCCTATTGCGGCAGAACATCGCCGTTTTCTCAGGTTCGCCTATCGGGGGCGCCATTGGCAATTCCGGGTGCTCCCATTCGGGCTCTCCCTTTCCCTGAGGGTGTTTACTCGATGCGTGAAAGCAGCCCTCTCTCCTCTACAGGCCTCTGGAGTCAGGATTCTGCCATACCTGGACGATTGGCTTCTTTGTGCTCCCTCTCAGGTAGCTGCCTCTCGGGATACGTCCCAGCTTCTACTTCACGTGTCACTGTTAGGCCTCAAAGTCAACTTGGCAAAGAGTTGTCTGGTTCCATCTCAGACAACCACCTTTCTTGGGATGCATCTGGACTCCGCTACCATGATGGCCCGTCCATCTGTTCACAGGGTGGACGACATACTCCAGCTTGTCCGTCGATTCAGACTGGACATAATCTTCCTGCGAATGCTGGGCAAACTGACATCAGTCACTCGTGTCGTGCCCTTAGGGCTTCTCCTTCTGCGTCCTTTGCAGCGATGGCTCAACAGCTTTCGCCTAGACGCCAGGCTGCATAGGCATCGCAGGCTGATGGTGACCAGGAGCTGCCTCCATGCCCTAGCTCCTTGGCGAGAGGGGACCCTTTTGTCCAGTGGTGTTCCAATGGGGCTAGTAGTGTGTCGAAGGGAGGTGGTCACCACGGATGCCAGCCTCATGGGCTGGGGTGCCGTGTGGCAACACAGAGCTGTTCGGGGTCTCTGGGACCCAAGGGAGCGCACCGAACACATAAATGTGCTGGAGCTGCGGGCTGTGCACATGGCCCTCCGGTGCCTTTTGCCCCACCTAGAGGGAAGGCATGTGCTGATTCGGACAGACAACACCTCTGTTGTATATCATATAAACCACCAAGGGGGCACCAGGTCAGCGCGTCTCTTGAAGGTGTCAAGGGATCTCCTGGAATGGGCGTTTCCCCGTCTTTGTACCCTGCCTGCAGCGTATCTGCCAGGACGGCTGAACCAGGTTGCGGACTCTCTATCCCGCCAGGCACCTGCTCCGGGAGAGTGGTCTCTTCACCGCGACGTAGTGCGCATAATCTGGAACCTCTTTGGGCAGGCAGAGGTAGATCTGTTCGCCACAGAGGAGTCGACCCATTGCCCCCTATGGTATTCCCTAACCGGGGTGGCGGGCGCACTGGGCCAGGACGCACTGGCTCATCCATGGCCGCAGGTTCTCCTGTATGCCTTTCCACCCCTCTCACTGATTTGGCCGACTCTACGGAGGGTTCTCGAGCAGGGCCACAGAGTGTTGCTGGTAGCTCCGTTCTGGCCAGCGCGGCCGTGGTTCCCGCTGCTTTGGAGTCTGTGTCACGGTACTCCATGGCGTCTTCCAGCAAGGAGGGATCTGCTGTCTCAGTTGGGGGGACAGATATGGCACCCCAACCCTCAACGTCTCCAGCTGTGGGCATGGCCCCTGGGAGGCTGACTGGGTGTTCAGACACTGTGAGACACACCATATTGAGTGCTAGGGCTTCCTCCACTCGGCTGCAGTATGCTAACAGATGGTGCCTCTTTTCTCAGTGGTGCTCTGCCCACAATGAGAACCCGGTTTCCTGCTCGGAGCCCACTATCTTGGAGTTCCTCCAGTCTCTCCTTGATAAGGGCCGCTCTCCTTCGACCCTTAAAGTGTATGTTGCAGCAATTTCATGTCTTCACCAATCTGTTGACAACCGTACAGTGGGGCGCCATGAACTGGTTTCACTTTTTCTGCGTGGTGCTCGTAGGTTGTGCCAGCGGCCCGCTCCACGAGCCCCAGATTGGGATCTGCCGTTGGTTCTCACAGCTCTGTGCCACCCTCCATTCGAGCCTTTGGCACAAGCAGAACTCAAGTGGCTTTCCTGCAAGACTGCTTTCCTGATGGCTATCATCTCAGCTAAGAGGGTCAGCGAGCTACATGCTCTTTCTGTCAGCCCTAGGTGTATCAGGTGGAATCCAGATGGCTCTGGTGTTACCCTGTGGCCTAATACTGCGTTTGTGCCTAAGGTGTTGTCTCCTTTTCACCGTAGCCAGCCATTGCGGCTGGCTCGATTTCAGCCTCAATCTGGTACAACTGAGAATGAGTCTGAGTTGTTGTGCCCAGTAAGAGCGTTGGAGGCATACATTGCAGCCACCGCCAATCTGAGACGCTCAGAATCCTTGCTTTTGCGAGAAGATTCTGTAGGAGCAGAGCAAAGGATGACACCAGGCTATATAGCTTCTGAGTGGTCATCCGGTGTCACAGGTGTGACTCTGTTGGTATAATTACTCGAACTGCGCATGCCCGAAGGGAACATTCAGTGCTTTCAGCACCGCCCTCTGGCGGTCATCCGGGATTCATAGAACCGTAGTTACATACGTAACTTTCGTTTTTCACCAGGTTTGAACACACTGCAGGAGGGATTTTGGCCCAGTCCTCCACACAGATCTTCTCTAGATCACTCAGATTTCTGGGCTTTTGCTGAGAAACACAGAGTTTGTCTCCCTCCAAAGATTCTCTACTGGGTTTAGGTCTGGAGACTGGATAGGCCACACTAGAACCCTGATATGATTCTTCCAGAGCTGCTCCTTGGTTATCCTGGCTGTGTGCTTCAGGTCATTGTGATGCTGGAAGACCCAGCCTCCACCATTCTTCAATGGTCAAACTGATGGAAGGAGATGGTTCACCAAAATCTAATCTATAAGGGACAATTTATTGCCCTGGTCGTTGTCTCCTTGATACAGTGCAGTCACCCAGTCCCATGTGCAGAAAGACACCCTGAAAGCATGACGCTGCCACCCCCATGCTTCACAGTAGGGATGGTGTTCTTGGGATGGTTCTCATCATTCTTCTTCCTCCAAACACGGTTAGTGGAATTATGACCAAAGGTTCTATTTTGGTCTCATCTGACCACGTGACTTTCTCCCATGACTCCTCTGGATCATCCAGATGGTCCTTGGCAAACTGAAGATGGGCCTTGACCAGTGCTGGTTTAAGCAGGGGAACCTTCCTATCATGCATGATTTCAAACCATGATGTCTGGGTGTATTACCAACAGTAACCATGGAAACGGTGGTCCCAGCTCTTGTCAGGTCATTGATCAGCTCCTTCCATGCAGTTCTGGGCTGATTTCTCACCTTTCTAAGGATCACTGAGGCCCCACCAGGTGAGATCCTGCATGGAGCCCCATTCTGAGGGAGATTGACAGTCATGTTTAGCTTCTTCCATTTTCTAATGATTGCTCCTACAGTGGACCTTTTCTCTCCAAGCTGCTTGGTAATTTCCCCGTAGCCCTTTCCAGCCATGTGGAGGTTTACAGTTTAGTCTCTAGTGTCTATGGACAGCTCTTTGGTCTTGGCCATGTTAGTAGTTGGATTCTCACTGATTGTATGGGTGGACAGGTGTCTTTAAGCACCTAATGACCTCAAACAGGTGCATCAGTGCAGGATAATAAATGGAGTGGAGGTGGACATTTTGAAGGCAGACTAACAGGTCTTTGAGGGTCAGAATTCTAGCTGATAGATGTTCAGATACTTATGTGTAGCTGTATCATACAAATAAATAGTTAAAAAATCCTTTATTTTGACTGGATTTTTTTAAGATTTTGCCTCAAACAGTGGACATGCACCTACGATGACAATTTCAAAACCCTTCATGATTTCTAAGTGGAAGAAGGCACAAAATACCAGGATGCTCAAATACTTATTGTCCTCATTGTACGTAATGATTATCTTTAAATTTCTATTTTCATTTTAATTCTATTTGCAGCTTTAATGCTGTAAATATCAGAGGTCTAAAAGTATTCAGATGTTCATCAAGGAATGAGGTTCAGTTTCTATCATCCTGTCTGGAATTATAATTCAGAACAAAACTAGATAGAGTCAGTTTATTTCATTGCTTCTCAATCAACACAGTGAGAAAAGGAGAAAAACCAACTCATTATCTGTGGCTAGATCTGAAAAGATAGAGTTGTCTAAGTTATTTTATTTCATTTAAGGACAAAAATGATTTTACTCTTGTACTTAACCTCAATCTAGAACATGTATGTTTTAGTCGTACTCAATTAGAGGAGATCAATCAGTATTTTTAACAGCTCTGATAGCTGATCAAGCTCTGCACTGGTGGCAGCATGATGCTGCAGCTTCCCTCTCATCAGAGAACGTTCCTGGAGCTGGTTGGACGTCCTGAAGCTTCTTTTCTGCAGCTGAACTTCTCAGCTTAAAGTTCAGTCTGACTTAGTTTCCATCTATCAGAGATTGATGATGTTTAAACATGATTATAGCAGCTAGTAACAGATGACTCACCTTGAATCTGCTGCTCCAGGATCATTACTGAATACAGGAGGAACACCTTTGGACCAGTCACTCTTCATAGAAACACAGCTGGGTGATGGAGACTCTGCTCTGTTCTCCTCTGTGTTCCTCCAGATGTTCCTCTGTGTGTTCCAGCCTGAAGCCCATCTAAGAAGGAAACAAAGACGCTTAGTTAACATGATTCAGCTCCAGTGTTCCCAGTTAGCTGCTCTCTGATCTGTCCTGTAAAGCTGGAAGCTGATCCTATTCTGTGTAAAACTCTGGGAAACATGTTTTGTTTGTTCCTCAGCTGATAGCAAACAGTGTCTGAACATCAGTAAATCAGAAAGTCAGTCCTGGTCATGGAGCTGATGCAGAGGGACAGGATAATGGCAGTCATAAGTGTAAAGAGGAAGAAGAGGAAAAGCCCTGATAGAGACATGGATGAAGACAGGAGGCTGGAAAACACTGCAGATGATGGATCAGATTCTGGGAAGCAGGACATTCTCCATCTATTCCCCCTTTAGCAGGTGTTTAATATACAGTGAAGAAAATTAGTATTGAACACCCTGCTATTGTGCAAGTTCTCCCAATTAGAAACCATGGAAGAATCTGAAACTGTCATCATAGGTCACTGTGTGAGATATAATGGAAAAAATAAATCCAGAAATTACAATATCTAACTTTTTACCTATTTATTTGTATGAAACAGCTGCAAATAAATATGTGAACACCTGAGAAAATCCATGTTAATATTTGGTACAGTAGCCTTTGTTTGCAATTCCAGAGGTCAGATGTTTCCTGTAGTTTCTCACCAGGTTTGAACACACTGCAGGAGGGATTTTGGCCCACTCCTCCACACAGATCTTCTCTAGATCACTCAGATTTCTGGGCTTTTGCTGAGAAACACAGAGTTTGTCTCCCTCCAAAGATTCTCTACTGGGTTTAGGTCTGGAGACTGGATAGATCACACTAGAACCTTGATATGATTCTTCCAGAGCTGCTCCTTGGTTATCCTGGCTGTGTGCTTCAAGTCATTGTGATGCTGGAAGACCCAGCCTCCACCATTCTTCAATGGTCAAACTGATGGAAGGAGATGGTTCACCAAAATCTAATCTATACGGGACAATTTATTGCCCTGGTCGTCGTCTCCTTAATAGAGTGCAGTCATCCTGTCCCATGTGCAGAAAGACACCCTGAAAGCATGATGCTGCCACCCCCATGCTTCACAGTAGGGATGGTGTTCTTGGGATGGTTCTCATCATTCTTCTTCCTCCAAACACGGTTAGTGGAATTATGACCAAAGGTTCTATTTTGGTCTCATCTGACCACATGACTTTCTCCCATGACTCCTCTGGATCATCCAGATGGTCCTTGGCAAACTGAAGACGGGCCTTGACCAGTGCTGGTTTAAGCAGGGGAACCTTCCTATCATGCATGATTTCAAACCATGAAGTCTTGGTGCATTACCAACAGTAACCATGGAAACGGTGGTCCCAGCTCTTTCCAGGTCATTGATCAGCTCCTTCCATGCAGTTCTGGGCTGATTTCTCACCTTTCTAAGGATCACTGAGGCCCCACCAGGTGAGATCCTGCATGGAGCCCCATTCTGAGGGAGATTGACAGTCATGTTTAGCTTCTTCCATTTTCTAATGATTGCTCCTACAGTGGACCTTTTCTCTCCAAGCTGCTTGGTAATTTCCCCGTAGCCCTTTCCAGCCATGTGGAGGTTTACAGTTTAGTCTCTAGTGTCTATGGACAGCTCTTTGGTCTTGGCCATGTTAGTAGTTGGATTCTCACTGATTGTATGGGTGGACAGGTGTCTTTAAGCACCTAATGACCTCAAACAGGTGCATCAGTGCAGGATAATAAATGGAGTGGAGGTGGACATTTTGAAGGCAGACTAACAGGTCTTTGAGGGTCAGAATTCTAGCTGATAGATGTTCAGATACTTATGTGTAGCTGTATCATACAAATAAATAGTTAAAAAATCCTTTATTTTGACTGGATTTTTTTAAGATTTTGCCTCAAACAGTGGACATGCACCTACGATGACAATTTCAAAACCCTTCATGATTTCTAAGTGGAAGAAGGCACAAAATACCAGGATGCTCAAATACTTATTGTCCTCATTGTACGTAATGATTATCTTTAAATTTCTATTTTCATTTTAATTCTATTTGCAGCTTTAATGATGTAAATATCAGAGCTCTAAAAGTATTCAGATGTTCATCAAGGACTGAGGTTCAGTTTAGTTTCTATCATCCTGTCTGGAATTATAATTCAGAACAAAACTAGATAGAGTCAGTTTATTTCATTGCTTCTCAATCAACACAGTGAGAAAAGGAGAAAAACCAACTCATTATCTGTGGCTAGATCTGAAAAGATAGAGTTGTCTAAGTTATTTTATTTCATTTAAGGACAAAAATGATTTTACTCTTGTACTTAACCTCAATCTAGAACATGTATGTTTTAGTCGTACTCAATTAGAGGAGATCAATCAGTATTTTTAACAGCTCTGATAGCTGATCAAGCTCTGCACTGGTGGCAGCATGATGCTGCAGCTTCCCTCTCATCAGAGAACGTTCCTGGAGCTGGTTGGACGTCCTGAAGCTTCTTTTCTGCAGCTGAACTTCTCAGCTTAAAGTTCAGTCTGACTTAGTTTCCATCTATCAGAGATTGATGATGTTTAAACATGATTATAGCAGCTAGTAACAGATGACTCACCTTGGATCTGCTGCTCCAGGATCATTACTGAATACAGGAGGAACACCTTTGGACCAGTCACTCTTCATAGAAACACAGCTGGGTGATGGAGACTCTGCTCTGTTCTCCTCTGTGTTCCTCCAGATGTTCCTCTGTGTGTTCCAGCCTGAAGCCCATCTAAGAAGGAAACAAAGACGCTTAGTTAACATGATTCAGCTCCAGTGTTCCCAGTTAGCTGCTCTCTGATCTGTCCTGTAAAGCTGGAAGCTGATCCTATTCTGTGTAAAACTCTGGGAAACATGTTTTGTTTGTTCCTCAGCTGATAGCAAACAGTGTCTGAACATCAGTAAATCAGAAAGTCAGTCCTGGTCATGGAGCTGATGCAGAGGGACAGGATAATGGCAGTCATAAGTGTAAAGAGGAAGAAGAGGAAAAGCCCTGATAGAGACATGGATGAAGACAGGAGGCTGGAAAACACTGCAGATGATGGATCAGATTCTGGGAAGCAGGACATTCTCCATCTATTCCCCCTTTAGCAGGTGTTTAATATACAGTGAAGAAAATTAGTATTGAACACCCTGCTATTGTGCAAGTTCTCCCAATGAGAATCCACGGAAGAATCTGAAATTGTCATCATAGGTGCATGCCCACTGTGTGAGATATAATGGAAAAAATAAATCCAGAAATTACAATATCTAATTTTTTACCTATTTATTTTTATGAAACAGCTGCTAATAAATATGTGAACACCTGAGGAAATCAATGTTTATATTTGGTACAGTAGCCTTTGTTTGCAATTCCAGAGGTCAGATGTTTCCTGTAGTTTCTCACCAGGTTTGAACACACTGCAGGAGGGATTTTGGCCCAGTCCTCCACACAGATCTTCTCTAGATCACTCAGATTTCTGGGCTTTTGCTGAGAAACACAGAGTTTGTCTCCCTCCAAAGATTCTCTACTGGGTTTAGGTCTGGAGACTGGATAGGCCACACTAGAACCTTGATATGATTCTTCTAGAGCTGCTCCTTGGTTATCCAGGCTGTGTGCTTCAGGTCATTGTGATGCTGGAAGACCCAGCCTCCACCATTCTTCAATGGTCAAACTGATGGAAGGAGATGGTTCACCAAAATCTAATCTATACGGGACAATTTATTGCCCTGGTCGTCGTCTCCTTAATAGAGTGCAGTCATCCTGTCCCATGTGCAGAAAGACACCCTGAAAGCATGATGCTGCCACCCCCATGCTTCACAGTAGGGATGGTGTTCTTGGGATGGTTCTCATCATTCTTCTTCCTCCAAACACGGTTAGTGGAATTATGACCAAAGGTTCTATTTTGGTCTCATCTGACCACATGACTTTCTCCCATGACTCCTCTGGATCATCCAGATGGTCCTTGGCAAACTGAAGACGGGCCTTGACCAGTGCTGGTTTAAGCAGGGGAACCTTCCTATCATGCATGATTTCAAACCATGAAGTCTTGGTGCATTACCAACAGTAACCATGGAAACGGTGGTCCCAGCTCTTTCCAGGTCATTGATCAGCTCCTTCCATGCAGTTCTGGGCTGATTTCTCACCTTTCTAAGGATCACTGAGGCCCCACCAGGTGAGATCCTGCATGGAGCCCCATTCTGAGGGAGATTGACAGTCATGTTTAGCTTCTTCCATTTTCTAATGATTGCTCCTACAGTGGACCTTTTCTCTCCAAGCTGCTTGGTAATTTCCCCGTAGCCCTTTCCAGCCATGTGGAGGTTTACAGTTTAGTCTCTAGTGTCTATGGACAGCTCTTTGGTCTTGGCCATGTTAGTAGTTGGATTCTCACTGATTGTATGGGTGGACAGGTGTCTTTAAGCACCTAATGACCTCAAACAGGTGCATCAGTGCAGGATAATAAATGGAGTGGAGGTGGACATTTTGAAGGCAGACTAACAGGTCTTTGAGGGTCAGAATTCTAGCTGATAGATGTTCAGATACTTATGTGTAGCTGTATCATACAAATAAATAGTTAAAAAATCCTTTATTTTGACTGGATTTTTTTAAGATTTTGCCTCAAACAGTGGACATGCACCTACGATGACAATTTCAAAACCCTTCATGATTTCTAAGTGGAAGAAGGCACAAAATACCAGGATGCTCAAATACTTATTGTCCTCATTGTACGTAATGATTATCTTTAAATTTCTATTTTCATTTTAATTCTATTTGCAGCTTTAATGATGTAAATATCAGAGCTCTAAAAGTATTCAGATGTTCATCAAGGACTGAGGTTCAGTTTAGTTTCTATCATCCTGTCTGGAATTATAATTCAGAACAAAACTAGATAGAGTCAGTTTATTTCATTGCTTCTCAATCAACACAGTGAGAAAAGGAGAAAAACCAACTCATTATCTGTGGCTAGATCTGAAAAGATAGAGTTGTCTAAGTTATTTTATTTCATTTAAGGACAAAAATGATTTTACTCTTGTACTTAACCTCAATCTAGAACATGTATGTTTTAGTCGTACTCAATTAGAGGAGATCAATCAGTATTTTTAACAGCTCTGATAGCTGATCAAGCTCTGCACTGGTGGCAGCATGATGCTGCAGCTTCCCTCTCATCAGAGAACGTTCCTGGAGCTGGTTGGACGTCCTGAAGCTTCTTTTCTGCAGCTGAACTTCTCAGCTTAAAGTTCAGTCTGACTTAGTTTCCATCTATCAGAGATTGATGATGTTTAAACATGATTATAGCAGCTAGTAACAGATGACTCACCTTGGATCTGCTGCTCCAGGATCATTACTGAATACAGGAGGAACACCTTTGGACCAGTCACTCTTCATAGAAACACAGCTGGGTGATGGAGACTCTGCTCTGTTCTCCTCTGTGTTCCTCCAGATGTTCCTCTGTGTGTTCCAGCCTGAAGCCCATCTAAGAAGGAAACAAAGACGCTTAGTTAACATGATTCAGCTCCAGTGTTCCCAGTTAGCTGCTCTCTGATCTGTCCTGTAAAGCTGGAAGCTGATCCTATTCTGTGTAAAACTCTGGGAAACATGTTTTGTTTGTTCCTCAGCTGATAGCAAACAGTGTCTGAACATCAGTAAATCAGAAAGTCAGTCCTGGTCATGGAGCTGATGCAGAGGGACAGGATAATGGCAGTCATAAGTGTAAAGAGGAAGAAGAGGAAAAGCCCTGATAGAGACATGGATGAAGACAGGAGGCTGGAAAACACTGCAGATGATGGATCAGATTCTGGGAAGCAGGACATTCTCCATCTATTCCCCCTTTAGCAGGTGTTTAATATACAGTGAAGAAAATTAGTATTGAACACCCTGCTATTGTGCAAGTTCTCCCAATGAGAATCCACGGAAGAATCTGAAATTGTCATCATAGGTGCATGCCCACTGTGTGAGATATAATGGAAAAAATAAATCCAGAAATTACAATATCTAATTTTTTACCTATTTATTTTTATGAAACAGCTGCTAATAAATATGTGAACACCTGAGGAAATCAATGTTTATATTTGGTACAGTAGCCTTTGTTTGCAATTCCAGAGGTCAGATGTTTCCTGTAGTTTCTCACCAGGTTTGAACACACTGCAGGAGGGATTTTGGCCCAGTCCTCCACACAGATCTTCTCTAGATCACTCAGATTTCTGGGCTTTTGCTGAGAAACACAGAGTTTGTCTCCCTCCAAAGATTCTCTACTGGGTTTAGGTCTGGAGACTGGATAGGCCACACTAGAACCTTGATATGATTCTTCTAGAGCTGCTCCTTGGTTATCCAGGCTGTGTGCTTCAGGTCATTGTGATGCTGGAAGACCCAGCCTCCACCATTCTTCAATGGTCAAACTGATGGAAGGAGATGGTTCACCAAAATCTAATCTATACGGGACAATTTATTGCCCTGGTCGTCGTCTCCTTAATACAGTGCAGTCACCCAGTCCCATGTGCAGAAAGACACCCTGAAAGCATGATGCTGCCACCACCATGCTTCACAGTAGGGATGGTGTTCTTGGGATGGTTCTCATCATTCCTCTTCCTCCAAACACGGTTAGTGGAATTATGACCAAAGGTTCTATTTTGGTCTCATCTGACCACGTGACTTTCTCCCATGACTCCTCTGGATCATCCAGATGGTCCTTGGCAAACTGAAGATGGGCCTTGACCAGTGCTGGTTTAAGCAGGGGAACCTTCCTATCATGCATGATTTCAAACCATGACGTCTTGGTGCATTACCAACAGTAACCATGGCAACGGTGGTCCCAGCTCTTGTCAGGTCATTGATCAGCTCCTTCCATGCAGTTCTGGGCTGATTTCTCACCTTTCTAAGGATCACTGAGGCCCCACCAGGTGAGATCCTGCATGGAGCCCCATTCTGAGGGAGATTGACAGTCATGTTTAGCTTCTTCCATTTTCTAATGATTGCTCCTACAGTGGACCTTTTCTCTCCAAGCTGCTTGGTAATTTCCCCGTAGCCCTTTCCAGCCATGTGGAGGTTTACAGTTTAGTCTCTAGTGTCTATGGACATCTCTTTGGTCTTGGCCATGTTAGTAGTTGGATTCTCACTGATTGTATGGGTGGACAGGTGTCTTTAAGCACCTAATGACCTCAAACAGGTGCATCAGTGCAGGATAATAAATGGAGTGGAGGTGGACATTTTGAAGGCAGACTAACAGGTCTTTGAGGGTCAGAATTCTAGCTGATAGATGTTCAGATACTTATGTGTAGCTGTATCATACAAATAAATAGTTAAAAAATCCTTTATTTTGATTGAATTTTTTTAAGATTTTGCCTCAAACAGTGGACATGCACCTACGATGACAATTTCAAAACCCTTCATGATTTCTAAGTGGAAGAAGGCACAAAATACCAGGATGCTCAAATACTTATTGTCCTCATTGTACGTAATGATTATCTTTAAATTTCTATTTTCATTTTAATTCTATTTGCAGCTTTAATGCTGTAAATATCAGAGCTCTAAAAGTATTCAGATGTTCATCAAGGACTGAGGTTCAGTTTAGTTTCTATCATCCTGTCTGGAATTATAATTCAGAACAAAACTAGACAGAGTCAGTTTATTTCATTGCTTCTCAATCAACACAGTGAGAAAAGGAGAAAAACCAACTCATTATCTGTGGCTAGATCTGAAAAGATAGAGTTGTCTAAGTTATTTTATTTCATTTAAGGACAAAAATGATTTTACTCTTGTACTTAACCTCAATCTAGAACATGTATGTTTTAGTCGTACTCAATTAGAGGAGATCAATCAGTATTTTTAACAGCTCTGATAGCTGATCAAGCTCTGCACTGGTGGCAGCATGATGCTGCAGCTTCCCTCTCATCAGAGAACGTTCCTGGAGCTGGTTGGACGTCCTGAAGCTTCTTTTCTGCAGCTGAACTTCTCAGCTTAAAGTTCAGTCCGACTTAGTTTCCATCTATCAGAGATTGATGATGTTTAAACATGATTATAGCAGCTAGTAACAGATGACTCACCTTGGATCTGCTGCTCCAGGATCATTACTGAATACAGGAGGAACACCTTTGGACCAGTCACTCTTCATAGAAACACAGCTGGGTGATGGAGACTCTGCTCTGTTCTCCTCTGTGTTCCTCCAGATGTTCCTCTGTGTGTTCCAGCCTGAAGCCCATCTAAGAAGGAAACAAAGACGCTTAGTTAACATGATTCAGCTCCAGTGTTCCCAGTTAGCTGCTCTCTGATCTGTCCTGTAAAGCTGGAAGCTGATCCTATTCTGTGTAAAACTCTGGGAAACATGTTTTGTTTGTTCCTCAGCTGATAGCAAACAGTGTCTGAACATCAGTAAATCAGAAAGTCAGTCCTGGTCATGGAGCTGATGCAGAGGGACAGGATAATGGCAGTCATAAGTGTAAAGAGGAAGAAGAGGAAAAGCCCTGATAGAGACATGGATGAAGACAGGAGGCTGGAAAACACTGCAGATGATGGATCAGATTCTGGGAAGCAGGACATTCTCCATCTATTCCCCCTTTAGCAGGTGTTTAATATACAGTGAAGAAAATTAGTATTGAACACCCTGCTATTGTGCAAGTTCTCCCAATGAGAATCCACGGAAGAATCTGAAATTGTCATCATAGGTGCATGCCCACTGTGTGAGATATAATGGAAAAAATAAATCCAGAAATTACAATATCTAATTTTTTACCTATTTATTTTTATGAAACAGCTGCTAATAAATATGTGAAGACCTGAGAAAATCAATGTTTATATTTGCTACAGTAGCCTTTGTTTGCAATTCCAGAGGTCAGATGTTTCCTGTAGTTTCTCACCAGGTTTGAACACACTGCAGGAGGGATTTTGGCCCACTCCTCCACACAGATCTTCTCTAGATCACTCAGATTTCTGGGCTTTTGCTGAGAAACACAGAGTTTGTCTCCCTACAGAGATTCTCTACTGGGTTTAGGTCTGGAGACTGGATAGATCACACCAGAACCTTGATATGATTCTTCTAGAGCTGCTCCTTGGTTATCCAGGCTGTGTGCTTCAAGTCATTGTGATGCTGGAAGACCCAGCCTCCACCATTCTTCAATGGTCAAACTGAGGGAAGGAGGTTATTCCCCAAAATCTAATCTATACGGGACAATTTATTGCCCTGGTCGTCCTCTCCTTAATACAGTGCAGTCACCCTGTCCCATGTGCAGAAAGACACCCTGAAAGCATGACGCTGCCACCACCATGCTTCACAGTAGGGATGGTGTTCTTGGGATGGTTCTCATCATTCTTCTTCCTCCAAACACGGTTAGTGGAATTATGACCAAAGGTTCTATTTTGGTCTCATCTGACCACATGACTTTCTCCCATGACTCCTCTGGATCATCCAGATGGTCCTTGGCAAACTGAAGACGGGCCTTGACCAGTGCTGGTTTAAGCAGGGGAACCTTCCTACCATGCATGATTTCAAACCATGACGTCTGGGTGTATTACCAACAGTAACCATGGAAACGGTGGTCCCAGCTCTTTTCAGGTCATTGACCAGCTCCTTCCATGTAGTTCTGGGCTGATTTCTCACCTTTCTAAGGATCACTGAGGCCCCACCAGGTGAGATCCTGCATGGAGCCCCATTCTGAGGGAGATTGACAGTCATGTTTAGCTTCTTCCATTTTCTAATGATTGCTCCTACAGTGGACCTTTTCTCTCCAAGCTGCTTGGTAATTTCCCCGTAGCCCTTTCCAGCCATGTGGAGGTTTACAGTTTAGTCTCTAGTGTCTATGGACAGCTCTTTGGTCTTGGCCATGTTAGTAGTTGGATTCTCACTGATTGTATGGGTGGACAGGTGTCTTTAAGCAGCTAATGACCTCAAACAGGTGTATCAGTGTATATAAACCTGTAGAGGTTTATATACAGCAGAATGTACATATTACAGCATTTGGCTTCAGACAAGGTGCAAGATGCTATAAAAGGCCCCTTTTCCCTGGTAAATTCCCAGAGATTCCCCCAAAAAAGGGGGTAAGCTCCGCCCCCAATGTTCCCAGGTCCAGGAAACTCCCCTATGCCTCACCTTTGCTCTGAGGGTCCAGGATCTTTACTGAAGCCTTCAGGAGAACAGCTGGGTGACGAAGACTCTGCTCTGTTCTCCTCTGTGTTCATAACTATCACTGTTGTTCTCTGCAGACACGAAGTCAATCTGAGAGGAAAACAGAGACTTTCAGTTAACATGTGGTTCAGTCCCAGTGTTCCCAGTTAGCTGCTCTCTGGCCTGTCCTGTAGAGCAGGATGCTGATTCTATACAGTATAGACTCTGAGGAACATAACAGAGTCTGAACAGACGAATCAGAGCAACAGAAAGTCTGTCTGAGTTTCTAGGATTGTGTCAGGGTGGGTGGATGTTGTTCAGGACCTAAATGCAGAACTGAAGAGGCAGAAATTAGTTAATGCAAAATTTAATGAAGAAATAAAAGGACAAAATCCAAAGTCTAGAACTGATCAACTAGAAAACCCAAGAACCAGAGTCATTTACCAGTCAAAATGGTTTTATGAGTTTCCCAGTGAGGCTGTTCCTTCCCCTCCTCTCAGGTGCTACAGGTGTCAGAGCTACAGACACATGGCAGCAGTTTGTAGGGGAAAGCAAAGATGTTCAAAATGCAGAGAAGAACCCAGAATGGAGGAGAGCAGGGAAGAAGATGGAGAAAGGTGCTGCAGCTGTGGAGGCCAGCACTGAGTTAACTATGGAGGATGAGGAGAGAAAGGAAACAGTGGAAATACAACACGTTAAGGCCCCGTCCACACGAAGCCAAACCCTGGCCTAAACGCACAAATTTTTCACCAAACCAGCCTCTCATCCATACGAAAACGGCGTTTCGGGGGTCTGTAAACGATCTTTTTTTTATTCAGCCTTCAGAGTGGGAAGATTTTGAAACGCCGTTTTCGCGTTTCCATCTTTAAGCTCTAACCACATTTTTTTTCTTACACGCATGCGTCATAGCGTCGCCTCTAAACACACATGCGCGACACAGTATCACAACAACAATGGCGCCGTACTGTGTTGAATGGTTGCTGCTCATGCTACTCACCCTGCTGTCGGGCTTACAACAGAATCTTCTTCTTCTGGAATATCTCCAGGAAGAACAGAGCAATATCGACCACATAGTTCAGCACCTGAATTTGACTGAACCACGAAAATGGACCAGCAGGGCAACCATGTATAAATATCAGTGCGCATGCCCAACATTTCGTCGTCTTTTTTTGCTTTGGCACCACAGCGCCACTTACAGGCCTGGCATACATTTTGCAGCGTTTTCATGCATTCGTGTGGACGATCACATTTATTTTACGTCTCCGTCTTTACGACAAACGTTTTGGAAAATATTAGCGTTTCGTGTTCGTTTTGACTTCGTGTGGACGGGGCCTAAATCAACAAAAAATATAAGGTTTGCAGAAGCAGAGAGGAGAGTTCAAGGACAAAGGAAGGAGAAATGAATCAGGCTCAGAATCAGGAACAAAAGCAAAAGGAAGAAGAAAGAGAAGAAAACTTCATTCCAACAGTAGAGAAACTCATTTGATTCATAGCCTGTCATCAGCTGCACCAAGCCAAGCATAAGACAGGAGCATCTGGAACATAAGATATTGTAAATAATAACTATATCAGATGATGATGGAGGATATGAGTTATTATCTTATTGATATAAAGTAGCTACATTTAGTTGTTAGTAAACTGTCATTTTGTTACACAATCCTTACCAGCAGGTGGCATTAATGCACTTTAAATTGTTAGCAACCACTGGTCTGTCCTGTAGAGCAGGAATCTGATTCTAATCTCAGTAAATCTGACTGTTTATATTCAATCTTCTGTAGAGATGAGACACTGTGGAATGTTCTTACAATATGGTTCACAGAAAAATAAGTTCATAAGTTAAACAAACAGAATTGAATAAATTAGACAGTCAAATAAATATAATACAATTACAGTTAAATTATTATTTGAACCCAAAGTAGATTTGTTTTACATGCTAAATTTTGCCATTATACTAGTTTAACTGTAGAAGAATTTCTCCACTAGAGGGCGCAGGTGCTATATGTCAGCAAGGATGTTGCTTTTTTCCCCACTAATGAACAGCAAAGAAGAAAGCTCTAGAAAATTTAGTTCTATGTGATGTTGCTGATGCAGCAGTTCAGAAGAACCCGATGTATTCCAGCATCCAGCTGCCATGCACGTGGGCATTGTCAGTTTCACTATAGCTCTGGTGAATTTCAATGGTGAAGTCCTCTGGAAATCTTCAATAATTGTTGTTGATTGCAGATGTGTCTAGTAGTTCCCATTGATTTAGCTTGTAAAGCGGGGAGAATGGCGCTAGGCTTACCGCACCGTGACGTCACTGCTGGAAGATGGCAGGAGGGAGGGGTTACTATATTTGGGCAAAAATGGCCGCTTCCAGACTTGGTGATCGCAATGAACATTTTTTTTACCAATTACAGCTAAATTAGTTAAATCACCGCAAATTTACTAGTTTTAGATATAAATAATGATTCATTGATTATTCCTTGCTGACCAGCCTTTTCCTTTAAAATAGAATGGTTTATTTTGTTTCATTTAAGCTAATTTTCATTATGGTCTGTTGGTATTTAAAAGAATAAAAACCATCAAAATAATTAGTTTCATCCAGACAATTAAATTCTCTGTGGTTGGACTCTGTGCCGCCCCACCTTGTTGTTCACCACAAACCAAAATAAGTAGTTTTCAAGATGATGCAAAGTTAAGTGTGACACTGTTACCATTAGTTTAAAACTAAGAAAATGAAGTCTAAGAAAGTTATCATCCAGAATTGTAGAAAAATGGTCAATTGTGCAGCAGTAGTATTGCAGTAACCTGTGTGAGGTTTAAAGCTTCTGTTCTTAACATGTTTTTGATGCATCACTTTTTCTTTTATCATTTAGGTAGTTTTAAAAGTGGTAGTTTTAGACACTTATACTTTAGTACAACATTTAAGTTGATCCTCTAACTCCTACCAAAGTGTTTTTGAGCAGTAGGATTTCAACTTCCATACCCGTACTGGCCATAGGGAGAACTGGGAGTATTCCTAAAGCGCCAGCCCGGGTCTCTCTCTTCTTTAAAAAAAAAATATGTCAATGCAGCAGCCTGTCAGAGAGGCAGGCCAGGCCACTAAGGCCAGATGGGAAAGACGAATCGTTTGTTTCAATTAACACCGGCCCAAACAGTCCGTATCAGTCACACAGACAGCAGTGTGTGGAGGAAGGGGTGTGGTGTGTGTAGCTAGTGAGCGGTGCAAGTAAGGATAAGAAGCGATGGACTCGGTCTTAGAACGCATTAAAGGGAATAGGAAATGCGGCGCAGAGACAGACAAAAAAACAGAGGCACTGGAGGACGTGGCCAAATGCAGAAAAGTTACAGGTTTATTCAGCCCCCCAAACAAATCATTTATTCATTTCATTTTTTCTTGCCGTTTTCAGCAAATAACTTATTCATAGTACCTCTAATTGTTGATTTCTAAATGTTGTTTTCATATTGTGCTGTTATTGCTTAATAAACTGCATTCAAACTCTTATAAAGTTCCATTTACTTTATGGAATGAAGTAGCTCGTCTGCCAATAAGGCCAGTGGCACCCGCAACTACGCAGCCACTAGGCTGACAGTCTCTGCTGGCACCCGCAACTACGCTTCCACCAGGCTGATAGTCTCTGCTGGCACCTGCCACTAGGCTGACAGTCTCTGCTGGCACCTGCCGCTACGCAGCCACTAGGCTGACAGTCTCTGCTGGCACCTGCCGCTACGCAGCCACTAGGCTGACAGTCTCTGCTGGCACCTGCCGCTACGCAGCCACTAGGGTGACAGTCTCTGCTGGCACCTGCCGCTACGCAGCCCCTAGGCTGACAGTCTCTGCTGGCACCTGCCGCTACGCAGCTACTAGGCTGACAGTCTCTGCTGGCACCTGCCGCTACGCAGCCACTAGGCTGATAGTCTCTGCTGCCACCTGCCACTGGGGTGACAGTCTCTGCTGGCACCTGCCGCTACGCAGCCACTAGGCTGACAGTCTCTGCTGGCACCTGCCGCTACACAGCCACTAGGCTGACAGTCTCTGCTGGCACCTGCCGCTACGCAGCTACTAGGCTGACAGTCTCTGCTGGCACCTGCCACTAGGGTGACAGTCTCTGCTGGCACCTGCCGCTACGCAGCCACTAGGCTGACAGTCTCTGCTGGCACCTGCCGCTACGCAGCCACTAGGCTGACAGTCTCTGCTGGCACCTGCCGCTACACAGCCACAAGGCTGACAGTCTCTGCTGGCACCTGCCGCTACACAGCCACTAGGCTGACAGTCTCTGCTGGCACCTGCAACTATGCTTCCACCAGGCTGATAGTCTCTGCTGGCACCTGCCACTAGGGTGACAGTCTCCGCTGGCACCTGCCGCTAGGCGGCCACTAGGCTGACAGTCTCTGCTGGCACCTGCCGCTACACAGCCACTAGGCTGACAGTCTCTGCTGGCACCTGCCGCTACGCAGCCACTAGGCTGACAGTCTCTGCTGGCACCTGCCGCTACGCAGCTACTAGGCTGACAGTCTCTGCTGGCACCTGCCACTGGGGTGACAGTGTCTGCTGGCACCTGCCACTACACAGCCACTAGGCTGACAGTCTCTGCTGGCACCCGCAACTATGCTGCCACCAGGCTGATAGTCTCTGCTTGCACCTGCCACTGGGGTGACAGTCTCTGCTGGCACCTGCCACTACACAGCCACTAGGCTGACAGTCTCTGCTGGCACCTGCCGCTACGCAGCTACTAGGCTGACAGTCTCTGCTGGCACCTGCCGCTACGCAGCTACTAGGCTGACAGTCTCTGCTGGCACCTGCCACTGGGGTGACAGTGTCTGCTGGCACCTGCCACTACACAGCCACTAGGCTGACAGTCTCTGCTGGCACCCGCAACTATGCTGCCACCAGGCTGATAGTCTCTGCTTGCACCTGCCACTGGGGTGACAGTCTCTGCTGGCACCTGCCACTACACAGCCACTAGGCTGACAGTCTCTGCTGGCACCTGCCACTACACAGCCACTAGGGTGACAGTCTCTGCTGGCACCTGCCACTACACAGCCACTAGGCTGACAGTCTCTGCTGGCACCCGCAACTACGCTGCCACCAGGCTGATAGTCTCTGCTGGCACCTGCCACTAGGCTGACAG